GGAGAGTGTGGGGCCGCATCTTAGGGACCCTTGCAGGCACCCCAAAGTATTTTTTTGCTTCTGTTTTTTGAGACAAAGTCTCACTATGTAGCTCAAGCTAGCTTTACACTCACGAACGCACAGTGATCCTCCTGCCTCAGCCTCCAGAGCACTGGGATTACCAGCCTATGCCACCATGCCCAGCCACAAGTCTGTCTTAACACATTGAGTTCCTACAAGCCCTTATGAGAGTAAGGATGGTCCTTCTCCTATTCTTTATTCTAGGGATGTTTGGGGTTTTTTTGTTTCTTTGTTTTTGTTTTTCTTCCGGTACCAGGGATCAAACTCAGGACCTTGTGCTTGCCAGGCAGGCACTGTGCCGCTCAGCTAAATCCCCAGTCCTGGTTCTAGGGATGGACCCTGTGTGCTGAACTGCACCCCAGCCCCTCCTGGCTCGTGTCTCCTTTCCCTCCAGCAGTTACTCCCTGGGCATGGCCTGGCCATCTGGTCATTTTCCTGCCTACTGTCTGTCGCCCACTGGCACAGCACCAGGTTCATCGAAGCTGTCTTGTTCTCTGCAGTGCCCCTGAATCCCTAAAGCAGAGCCTGGCACACAGTAGACACTCAATAAATCCTGGCCGGCTGGGGATGGAGCTCTGCTAGAGCCTTTTCCCAGATCCCCAGCACAGCCTGTAATTTCAGCTCTCTGGGAGGCTGAGGGAGGATAACTAGTTCAAGAACAGGCCAAAAAGACCAAAAAATAAAAAAACAAATAAAAATAAAAGTAAGGCTGGGCGTGGTGGCGCACACCTGTAATCCCAGCCTCGGAAGGCTGAGGCAGGAGGATCACTGGGAGCTCCAGACCAGCCTGGGCTACAAAGTAAGCTCAAGGCCAGTCTGAACTAGAAAGGGAGTACATAGGTAGTACATACTACTACACTGTCTCAAAAAGACCAAAAAAATAGATAAATAAAAAAGAACAGGCTGGGGGCTGGGGATTTAGCTCAGCGGCACAGTGCCTGCCTGGCAAGTACGACGTCGTGAGTTCGATTCCCGGTACCGGAAAAAAAAAAAAAAAAAAAAAAAAAAAAAAAAGAACAGGCTGGGCAACAAAGCGAGACCCTGTCTCAAAAGAAAAAAACAAAAAGGGGGTCAAAGACCTGGGTTCAATCCCAAATATTGCCAAAAAAAAAAACAAATTCCAAAAAGCTGGGCATGATGGCACACTCCAGTAATCCCAGTACTCAGGAGGCTGAGGCAGGAGGACTGTTGCAAGTTCGAGGACAGCCTGGGCTACAAAGTGAGATCAAAGCCAGCCTGAACTGCATAGCGAGACCCTGTCTCAAAATTGGCCAGGCGTGGTGGTGCACACCTGTAATTGCAGCACTTGGGAGGTTGAG